GGGGGGATAGATATACCCCCAAATTTTGGCAACATATGTAAACCCACCATTGAGCCCCTCCTCCGGCGGTCACCATCTCCGGCTACCCTCTCTGCCGATCATCGTCTCCAGCTCCCACACCCTCTTCTTTCTCTTCTTTCCGTAAAGCATGCCTACTCTTACTTTCTTCCTCATTTACTTATTACATATTTTAATATGATTTTGAAGATAGTTCTCGTACCGAAAAAAGAAGAGTTTGAGAAATTTAAAACATAAATATGTAAAATCAAATATTCTATACACTTACTTTTTGCATTTTCAAAATTTTGTTAATTATTAACGTTAATTTCATAATTTAAAAAAAATTATCATAACATTTATTAATAATAAAATTATTTATATTCTTGTAATCAAAATATTATTAAATATATTTACAAACACAAATTTGTTTTAAAAAGTTATACTCGCTTTTTTTATACCAATATAAAGTGTTACCAATTTGATATACGGAACGTATTAATATAAGTTTTATTTTCCAATTATAAGAAAATAAAACCGATAAATATTCGTTTGTGCATTTCAAGTTCTTGTATTCTTGATTTGGGTAGGATTTAATTTCTACTTTTTTCATTGAATGTTTCACTTGGTTTTACATATATTGTATTAGGGCCTTCGTGGTCCGGTTTAAACGGTTTAACCCCTTAGACCATAAACCAACCGTAATAGCGGTTTATAAAATTTTCAAACTGAACGGTTTGACATCAAATGTCCAGACCGGTCAAACCAGACCACGAAAAAGAGGTATGGTCTGACCCGTTTAGGCGGTTTGGGTTTCTAATGGACTTAAATATTAAACTTAAAAAAACATATATAATTCATAATTTTAGATTAAACATACATTTTGATTATGTTAGATGTTAGGTTTTATCTTGAGCTTAGGGATATATTAGAGCTATAGCCAATAATTAAAAAAGTTGGGCTTGCTAATACTAAAATAAATAATTATATATATATATATATAGAGAGAGAGAGAGAGAGAGAGAGAGCGCTTGGTTCAAATGTTAACCAAGATTATTGTGTTAACTTTGTTAACCAAGCTCAACCAATGAAATCCATTTTTTATCTAGGTTCATTTCCATCTCATAATTTAATGACAAAGGTAAATATGTAATTTTAGTTTGTATATAACTCCCATATCATTAATTGGGAGTTACAAAATCAAAAAATCTCATACTTGTTGTTGATTTACTATTGATCTTGTTTTTCTATAATATTGATTTTATCTATCTATAATGTTCTTGAATTTGTGATTGTTAAAGAAGACAGATAGTAAAATTGGTTTACGATGACAATCGGACTTCGAGTTCCGGAAGTAAAGACAATAATCAAAGTGTTTGTATTGGTAATGGATTAATATGTTACTGTATTCGTTTTATACGAAATTATGTTGATTATGACGTTTTTATGTTTTTTATAGTTCGTATTGTGTTGGTAGTTGTTTTTTTAATTATTACTACGAGCCCAATTCATATGTTCAAATAGAATCAGTTCATTGTCAACTTAATTTGTTATGCAATCCAATTCTGATAACCATTCGGCTCCATCAGCTGCTTGTGATGCTTGACCTGCCATAGGCTGCAACTAGTGTTCATATACGTTCAGGTGTGTTCATATATGTTCTAGTAGGGACATGAATCAATGCATCTAATATTGAATTTATATTTTTTTGTTAATTTATTATTGATCTTGTTTTTTTGTAATATTGATTTTTCTATTTATAATGTTTTTGAATTTGTGATTGGTAGAAGAGACCCGGTAGTAAAGTTTTCGGTATCGTTCAAACTATTATGGATAAACCCATTGTTCATAATGAATGAACTATTGTTCACAAGTGTTCATATTGTGTTCATATGTACACTAGTTGCATATCTCAACATTGGCTCGCTCCTGAATGTGTTCATAATAAAAGAACTATTGTTCACAAGCTGTTCATATTGTGTTCATATGTACATTAGCTGTATATCTCAACATCGGCTCGCTTCTGAATGTGTTCATAATGTAAGAACTATTGTTCACAAGTGTTCATATGTACACTAGCTGCATATCTCAACATTGGCTCGCTCTTGAATGCGTTTATAATGAAGAAACTATTGTTCACAAGCTGTACATATTGTGTTCATATTTGTTTTGTTTATTTATTTCCTTTCATATAACAACTATTTTTATTATGTTCATATTTATTGTTCACAAGCTGTACATATTGCGTTCATACCTGTTTTGTTTATTTATTTCCTTTCATATAACAACTATTTTTATTATGTTCATATTGTGTTCATAAACGTTATGGAGTCCAAGTTCACATATATGTCAACTTTTGTTCGTATTTGACACAATAGTTCACACACACACATAAATATATATATATATATATATATATAGATATGTTCATATGGTTCTTACATTAACAAAAATAATGTGATTT